ATAAGTTTCGCATCCTTGTCAGGAAGGAAGACAGCCCAAGCGGCTGTATGGATTGAGGATAGTGTGAGTTGGAAGTTCGGAAAACGTTCCAGCATTTGGTTCACACTTTTTCCTTGGCACCGGACAACAGGTTTCGGGGACCAGGTTAGAGGTCCCGTTAGTACTCAAGTTCAGTTGAGTGTTAGGTCGAGTGTGTGTTCGGCGTTGGATGTGTTCGGATTGGTAATCGGCGATTGAGACATCGTGGAAAGTGTTGTGAGACTGCGGGATAGCCGTAGCATTCACTAGCATCCAGATAGTGTGAGGAAGTGTTGTAAGTCTGTAGGTGTAGCCATAGCATTCACAAGGTTGACAGATAGTGTTAGAGTGTTGTAAGTCTGCGGGTGTAGCCATAGCATTCACAAGGTTGACAGATAGTGTTAGAGTGGTGTAAGTCTACGGGTGTAGCCGTAGCATTCACAAGGTCGACAGATAGTGTTAGAGTGTTGTAAGACTGCGGGTGTAGCCGTAGTATTCACTAGGTTGGTAGATAGCATGGGAGTGTTGCTAGATCGCAAAAGGAACAGTAGTAACCACCATTTCGGGTGCAGCAGTGAGGGCGTGGCAAATCCACGGATTGGTTTACGGACTTCCCCAGATTTATTAGACCTAGTTGAGCCAGTGATAAGATCGTAGGAACGCCACTACAGTCATGGGATCAAGGAAGCAATGGATCGTATAAGGTCGTTTGTGATATAAGGCTACCCTTGGTCATGTGGCAATCACTTTTAGCCTTGGATTTGGTGACGTCAGGACTCGACGTATGGACCTGATCAGTTAGATCAGAAGGTCGTTAGAGCCACAATGGCACGATAACTAGTGGCAACTATTAAAAGATGGGGATTTCGTTTGGAAGTTGCGAAGGGCGACTCTATGGGAGCCTTTGGCTCAGTAACCAGGTAGGAACCCAGTATTTCAGATGCCTGGCGAACGGATTGAGACCAGGGAGGTCTAGGTGGATTTTGGAAAGCAGGCATGTGGCAGCATGTTGTTTCAGGCAGTTTCAGTGTTTTGGGCAGTATTAGTGTTTTAGGGCTTCATGTATGGATGGACTAACTGATTGCTTGTGTGATGCTAAGTCACTCGCAGTGGGATTAAATAATCTCAGAGTAATGAATTTGACCCTGTTGCACAGCTCTTGTCCAAGTACTCACCGTTACGGGGTAAGTCTCCCTCTTGAAGGATCATCTAAGCCTTGGCCAAGTATAAGTGATCTGCATGGATAATTGGGTCTATGATTATGTTTTCTAGTGGGAACCTCGAGTTATCAGAAGTTGAGTAGTCAGTTGAGAGATAAGTGGATTGGGTTCAACAATAATGATTCAGCATGGGCGTCTGTCAAGGAGTCAGACCATCTCGAGACTACAGATTTCAGATTGAATAATGTGATCATAATGCCAGGAATTCGTTCATCTTTGGGTTTTAGAACCCTGTGAGGGTTGGCTTTGATTGCCTTGGGAAGGCTGGGTTTATGCTCGGTTGTGGTCATGTCGTTCAAGTTGTATGGTGTGTAACGGATAGTACGGAATGATTTTGAGGACAAAATCTAATTTAAGTGGGGGAGAGTGGTAACATCCCGTTTATTAAATAAATAAATATATAAATATTAATAAATGAATAGTATCCCTAAATGTGGAATAATTTAGCAAGGCGTTGGTTTTGGGGGCTAAAAAGTCATAATTGAGAGTTTAGGGGTTAAAATGTAAATTTCCAAATTAATTTGTAAAGAATTTTGAGGCTTGAGGGTTGTTTAGTAAATTATGGGTTTAATTTGAAAGGATTTTTGAAGACAGAGGTTGCTTGGTAATTATTAGGACTTACTATGAAAGGAATTATGGAAGCAAGGGCTAAAAGGTAAAATTTAGACTTAAATTGAAAACAAATCTCGTGAGGAGGGACTGAAGTTGGCAAATGGTACACAAGTTTGGAAAGAACACGGGATATACCCAGTGTTCCCTCCCCCGTCGTCTAACCCTAAACCTAAAGGCGCCATTCAGCAGCCGCCACCATTCTTGGAGCTCCTCTAGCCGCCGCCTCCTTGCCATTGAAGTTGGAAACCACCAAAGCAAAACCGTCGGTGAGTCTGCCGACGACGATGAAGAACGTCGCATGGAAGTTGTACTCGTGAGACACTGTCGCTGCTATCTTTCATCGGCGAGAACGCAACCTCCATTTCCTCCGCCGCCACCACTCCTTCTCCCTTCATTTCTGCTCTGCATTAAATAAATCGTGTCGCCATCGTCGACGTCACTCTCTTACGGCTATTTCTTTTCTCTCGGAAAATATCTGCGGTCGTTGCTGCAACGGACATGGTGGTTGTGGGTACGTTTGGTGGTGTTTTTCCGTGATTGCAAGATGTGTGTGTGTATTTGCTGGCTGGAAAATATGGGTAACCACCATGGCATCCAACCATGGTGGTTGCCGCCATATAGCTTCCTTCTACTGCCTTCTGCCGTTTTCTGCCACCTTTGCCACCACCAACCATCGTAGGAGGTGGCTGTGTGTGTGTATATTATGTGTACGTTGTAATGGTGAATTTTATAACAGTTTTTTCTTAGTCAAAAGTGAAGAAGATCACCACCGCCGCTGAGAGGTGGTGGCTTCCGCCGTAAGCCGTCGCCGACCACCACTGCCTAAGGTGGCAGTGGGTGTTGCCCGGCCTAGTGGAACCCTAATCGGCCCAATAGCTTAATCTTGGACGTAGTTGGCTTATGATTGGGTTGAAAACCCTAATTAGGATTTAGAAAACCCTAATTTTGGGAATGTTAGTTTGGGAATTTCCGAGACCCACGTTTGGACTGTTAGACTGGAATTTTGATTTATGTCCAACTACATTATATGAATGACCTAGTGGAGTGATGGACTTAATGGATTAAGTCCTTAATAGGTTAAGTCCTTAATGGCTTAAGTAAGAACACTTAACCCTAATCGTCATTTCATATGAGAAACCCTAATTTTGGTTGGGCCTTCTGTTGGGCTTTGGTGATTGGGATATTGATGGGCCATCCAAGAACAAGTATATGGACTAGAATATTTGGATTGGGCTTTAGGATAAGTCCCATTGGAAAGGTTTGGGCCCAATTTGGAAAAATTGGGCCTTGATGATTATGAGATATCGGACCATCGTTATGCCAAGTGTTTGGACTAAAATAAATGGTTGAGCCTTAAGGTAAGACCATGTAGAGGTTTGGGCCCAATTTGGAAATTTGGGCCATATGTTGAGCCTTGGTTGATTATTTGACTTTTGGGCCTTTAGAGTATGAGTTGGGCCTTGGTTTTGGACCAAACTATGTTAGGGGTAGATGGTCCTTTTACCCCAAGTGTGAATTTATGATTATGCATTTAAACCCAAATGGTTAATTGGGTTTGTTTTGACGATTAACGATTCGGTGACTTGTTAGCCAGCAGCCAGAGAATTATCCGCGGGACTTCAACAGTGCGAGGTGAGTTTCCTCCTGGCTTGAACGGGTCAAAGGCACCAATTTCGGCCCGTGTAGTTTGTATGTTCTTGATAGGAACACAGAGTGTGGGCGGGGCCCGTATCTCATTATTACCTGAGTATATATATCAGTCAGATTGTTGGATTGCTATACTTGTTATCTGTGTGATACCTGTATGTGTTGTTAGGATTGTGAGTATGGGCGAGGCCCGTATCTCATTGTCAGCAGAGTGTGGACGGGGCCCGTATCTCCTAGTTAGTCGAGTGTGGGTGGGGCCCGTATCACATAGAGTGTGGGTGAGGCCCGTATCTCATAGCATTATTTGAGTATGTATATAGAAATGAATTGGTAGATTATGGTTATACTTGTTGTTTGCGTGATACTTGTATGTACGTTTAGTTAGCGGAGTGTGGGCAGGGGTCCGTATCTCCCGGATAGCAGAGTGTGGGCGAGGCCCGTACCTCCTAGCCAACTGAGTGTGGGCGATGCTGGTATCTCCTAGTTAGCAGAGTGTTAGCGAGGCCGTATCTCTGAGATAGTTGAGTGTGGGCGAGGCCTGTATCTCATAGTTAGCCGAGTGTGGGCGGGGGCCCGTATCTCCTTGAGTGTGGGCGAGGCCCGTATCTCCTAGATGCATGTTATATGATATGTGTATGGTATGTTGTAGTTTGGGGAGACTCACTAAGCTTCGTGCTTACAGTTTTCAGTTTTGGTTTCAGGTATCGGTAGCAAAGGGAAGAGCTCGGGATGACTGCAGTGCACACACCATTTATTTAGTTAACTATGGTTTTGTTATTGACTTGAAAATGAAATTTTTGGACCGTATTTTTGGGATGTTTAACAGATAAACATGGAATATGGATGGGACAAATTAGTCAAAAACATATATGGTGCTTCTTTTGTTCCCAAAAACTTCCCATATGTACACAATTCCAATAAAGAAAAGAAGAAAAAATTTTGGACTCATCTGTGCAGGTCCTTATTATCTAAAACTGAAAGAAAATATGAACCACTACAAAGTGAAACGAACAACTAAAAATCAAAGGCATCTTCATCCCAAATATGTGTTCTGTCACCAACTATTATTGCATATTAATGTCACTTTATCGATAAATTTCACAAAAAGATCCAAGAGAAGAATTATAAAGTGAAACAAATTTGTTAAAACTGATTTCATCACTATAAACCAAAAACTCTAGAAACAGTATATGCAAGGATGGATAAGTAATAGTGTTCTACCTGATAGAATTTGATTGCCCTTATTCAAACTTCTTTTAGAAACCATAGATGAGATTTTGAAAGAAAACTAAATTCCAAGGTGTGCTTGATTGTAAAAAAAAGGAATTGTCCTGAATCCGGAAAATACCATGTACTTTATGAGCACTCATCAGTAACTACCCCGTTAGCCAATCCAAGTCCGTTTGTCAAAGTAGCAAACCCCAAACTTGCATTTTTAGGGCTAATCAACATTTCTCGATCAATTTGAAGACGCAACAGACAACGTTAATGGAATCAATTTCATTTCCATTCATTTTGTAACTAAAAAAAATACAGGGGAAAACATACAGATTACAGCACAACAACTTTATGATATTTTCTAGATCATTAGTGAAATCCTTTCAGAACGACAACCACCATGAGGCACCACGATTTGTACTGGTTCTTTTTCCATTTCTATCGGCAAAAATGGAATCCAACAAATCAAAAGTAAAAAAATCGAGTATAAGGAAGAGATTTAATCAATGTGCATCTAAATGGATGAAATAAGAAGTTAATTGAGCCAACTTTTGTGTAACCGGATGAAAAAATACCTTCTTTTTTCCAGTTAATTCTCCGTACATCCTAAAGTTCTCCGATCTGAAATAACTCCATCCCTTAATCTTATATTACGATTTAATCTAAAACAAAGGAAACAAAAAAAAATCAAGAATGGGTAAATTCACCTCAATCACGAATATGCTCAAAACCTATTTCGTCTTATGTGTGTATGTATCTGTGAGAGCTCCGACCTTCAAACAACCTCTGATCGATTTAACTAATTTTCAATGGATCCATCTGAATCTAGATTTTACGTAAGACAATGTAAGCTTGATAATTAAAATAATGATGGAAAGAGAATGATATACAGAAGAAATAAAAACGTTATACAGATTTTACGTCTCCGATTTAAGGAGAAGTTGAAGAAAAAGTGACGATCCAACTGAAATTGGGGATGGAGATTGAGTATGAATAATTGATATTGAAGAATAGAGGAAGAAGTAACCTACGAAATTCATTTGGAAATACAACCAGGTTCCTAAATTAAAGGCATTTCAGAAGGTTCCTAAATTAAAGGCATTTGAGATGAGATAGGTCAATTAGAAATCGGCGAGATCTAAGGAGATCAACAATTGGGATTATAGGAATTCAAAACCATATACGTATTCAACAGCAGGGCATAAGCGGAAATTCACTTGCATGAAATAGGCAGGATAATTCGATTGGGGGGAGGCTAATTGACTGTCACGTGGCGAAAATGGTTTTATTTATTAGATTAGGGGATTGGCTTATTTTTGGGGTTTCTTTACTAATTAGAAATATCTCCCTTATAATCAAAATATGTGTCATATGCAATCTCTCATTACTTGGTTGAACATTATTAAGGCTACGAATAATCTGCAAGATAAGATAAAGGAATTAATTTGTTGTCTTTTTGCAAAAAGCAAAGTGGGGATTTCCATGACTTCCTTTTGGGAGGATATTTGGGTGGAGAATTCCTCTATTATAGAAACTAGTAACATCATTGACATAAACCATAAGTTCGTTTTATTCCAACTACTGAAGCCTTCCATAAAAATGCATCTTCCACCTTATTCTACAAAATGAACTTCATATAATATAAGAAGCAACACAAACTAAACTTTGTCTACTTAAACTATAACATAATCAAAGATCAAAATGATCAACTCAAGTTAGCAAAAATGTTTTCCCTTATACTCGCATCATTTTCATGGAAAATCATGGCATGATTGTTTAGAATGTCTTCTAACCAAATATGTATCCTATTATTATATCTTTTTTTATTAGGTCGATGCTCCAAAGATCTTAAGGAAGATCAACTAAAAATCAACTTCTTAGTCATTAAAGATACACTACATTGTGGAGACTTATTAAAGGCATTGACACTTAAAATTTTCTACCAATACCATCACTACCACTCTATATGATGTTACAAATAAGACAACAATGTCTCATAAATCACAATGTTATCTCATAAATCTTGCCATATTTTACTTGATGAAAGTTGGAATATATTAGAAATGCCCAAAAGGCATTCTTTCTATAATTAGGAAAAAAGTCAACTCTTCCCGGAGCAAAATACAACCTAAAAGTCAATATAACAAGTTAGAACAATTGCTTTGAAAGAAGGATTCACCTTCCAAACACTATACTCTCCTATCTCCTTATTCCCACATACCACTTAATTAATGAACTCCTAACAAATAAATATTGTGTATGAATTAGTTTTACAAAATAAGGCCTGAATGCACCCATCATTTACTCATTTACCCTTTCATCTTCACTTGTATTTCAAGCCTTCTTCTTCAAGCCTCGAGTGATTCATTGCTTCATTCCATAAATCCCACATGATGTCATCAAATTTACAGATGTGTGTATGTATGGATGGATGCATTTTTAATAGAGCTCCAAAAGGCTTATAAAAAAAGATGAACTTTGTGCTCTTCTTGTTGCCACTCCAAAAGCCGATTAAACCAACAAATTTGCAGAGAAAGAGCCATAAAGAATGTGATTTGTTTTTGTTTTGTTTGTTAGTCTTCTTAATTGAAGAAATATGGAGACTTCAAAACCTCTTTTAGGTCAAAATCTCCCCTTTCTGGCAATGGAGGAAATTCCATATTTGGAAACGACTTCTGGAAACTCTCCAACAGCTGTCACAATGCTCTTTCATCAAAATGGAAACTTTTTTTATCCAAATTAATCTTTTATTCAAAAAAAAAAAACTTACATTTTCTAGGATTGGTGCCTCGTAAAGTTCAACGAATTTTTCTCTAAGAATCTTGTTCATCTGATCAACATCACAAGCATGTGTCCAAAACGAATCATGCACTCCTGAAATTGGATTTTAATTTTTGTATTTTTAATGGAAAAAAAAAAACAGTGAAAAAAAAAAGTAAAATAATGATTTTGAACCTGCAAAACTTAAGCCAGCCTCTTTACAAGCAATGGCTGTCATCATCATGTGGGACCCATCAAGAGAGTGGACAAAGTTAGGAGGAAAGGCTGTTCTTTGTCTTTTCACCATCACCTGTGATAATAAAAAAATAATTATAAAAATAAAAAGGTTATTTCTTGCATTTAGCTTAATAAAGAAAAGGTTAGGGATATAACCTTATCGGTTTCTCGTTGTAGTGTCAAAACTTGAAGAGATGTCTTAATCTACACATTTCAAAAAGTAACAAAAGTTTTGGTTCATATTAGCAAAAAAGCCAAAATACAGTGACTTGACTTGACATTTTGACATATTAAAAGAACTCACAAGATGCCTTCCTAACTTGCGGTATGGTTGAACAACAGGAAGTCCAAGAGGAGTTGTCCATTGTACTGGATTGTTTTTCACTGCTATAACCTGTCAAATTTTATAAAAATCAATAAATGTATAATCTTATCTTATCAAAATATAAAATTTATACCTTTGCACAATCACCAAGCCAACTCATAATACTTCTTGCAGATTCAAACATTTCCCCCAAAGCAGTTAAAGTTGTCTACAACAAAAAAGAAATACAGAATTTGCATCAAATATTTACTCATATTAAATTTAGCAAAATGGAAGTAGAAAAAGTAGATTTTGATATATTTTTACTTTTGCAGCATAACAAGCAGCAGCAAACAACTCAGCATCATCTTCAATGGAACAACGTTCCTTTAATCTTCTTTTAATTTGGTCACGAGCACCAATATATGTCACACCATACACTGATGTCATCACTGTTTGCTTAACTAACTTTCTGTCCACCTGTCCAAGTCATCATTCATCAAGATTTATTATTTGGGAATTGGGAATATTATTTAAAAAAAAAATCAAATGCTTAAAGAATTTTATATACCTGGTCAACTAACATGCGTGCATGTTTGGCATTTGGATCGGTTGTGGGGTCGCCTTCTGCATCTCTCTTCATAATCTCAATCACTCTGCTCACATCACATCAAATTACATTTTTTTTAATTCCAATTTATTTTAATTTTTATAAGAATTTTGGTTGATTAATAGAAAGAGGTAGTATTATAACCTGGAAGCAATCCCAGAGTAGACATCGGCTGGCTTTTCTCCTTCAACAAGATTAACAGCAGCTGCTCCTAACTAAATATATATGTTAAAATAAATTCCATGTGTAAGAAATATTAAATTAAAAAATAACAATAAAAGATCTTAAACTATTAACATATTTACCCTGTCTCTTCCAAGTGCAGCATAATGTTGTAAGCCATTACACGAACCATCCTAAAAAAATTCAAACAAAAGATAAATGTAAATAAATTATAGATGCATTATATGTTTAACATTATAACTAATCAATATGACACTATTTTGGTAAGTTAAGTCCCAAACAGACATGACATGACATGACATGACAGAATTGGTTGTATGATTATATCCCACTAAGGCACTCACAGACTGACATGACATGATATAGCAGAATAAGTTGTAACCCACTAAGGCACATACATACAGATATGATATGACATGACATGACAGAATTTGATAAGACAGATGATTTTTAGTGCCACTTTGTGAAAGAGTAAAGAAAATATTGTGGCAAGTTGCTTAAAGTAGTAGACACACACCTGGTGGATAGGTATGTGGGAAATGGCGGTTTCAGGGGAAGAACTTCTTAAAGCTTCAGAAAGATTCATGCATGTCGCCAGGCATTGAAAAGGGTCTTCTGCACCCAACCACCATCTCTTTCCTTCAAGAGGTCGATCTGAAGAATCAAATATTTCATCCAAATGTTTCTCTGCAAACATCATTCGACCCTCATGGGACAACTTGTCCACACCACCACCATAGACATTTGCTAGATGTATCTTCAACCATCTTAAACCTGATATGATGACACACGTCTACTTGTTAGCACAGGACTTTACCAATATACATATTGATTATATATATATATATATATATATATATATATATATATATATAAAGTTGGAGAAGTAGACGAGCATATGGATAACTTTGGTCGGTTAACAAGTAGAGATTTGTCATCATTACCTGATTCTCCAAGAGGTCGACCATCAGCAAACTCAAGAACACCTCGACATAAATCAGAGCCCAAATGATTTAAATAAGGGTGCATAGGGTATGCACGACCACGGAAATCAAGATTGTGGGGGTAGTAGAAAGCTTCCTCATCCTTCATTTTTCTAGCAACCTACTCTTGCAGTATAAATATTAGAATATAATGATTTTACAATTTTATACAATATAAATACATACAAAAGAAAACACTTACGGCTAATTTCAATTCAATATCACATCTCTGTGAATGCCTTTCTCTATTTTCCTTTTTAGTGGTTTTAACTTTCCATTTCCATTTTTTAATTTCAATTTCATCATCTGTGTCTGGCTCTTCGGGTAGAGGAACCTATGAAAAACAACAAAAACATAATATTTATCGACTTTTTAGTATATTTAATGAAAAAAGACATGTTCTTGATACTTATATAAAACTTACATCATCACGATCAACTAAGTCAGCTAAACGTCCTCCACTAGCCCAGATTCTATCTATAACACCAAGAACTTTCCTATTTACCCTCCATTTTGTAGCACCAAGTGTATTAAGTGCCTGAAATGTATAAAAATAAAAATCAGAAAATGAAAGTAGAGAGGAAAAAGGGTATTTTATAATTTTATTACACACCCCAAAAACAGGTTCCAATTGCTTCTTTGGTGTTTTTTTAACTACATCACGCTGTTGTTTAGCTCCATGTGTGCGCATTATATAGGATGGTAGAAACAAGTAGGCTCCTCTGTTGTATCTGTCAAAGAAAAAGGGCAAAAATGGAAAAACATAAATGTTACTCTTTTATAATGATGACCAACTTGATTACAATTCTTGTATCTTTAATGTTAAAGATACTAAACAAAAACTAACCTAATCTTCAAGGTTACTCTATTCCTAAACTAAACAACACTAAATCAAACATCATATCAAAGTCTTAAGGATCAAAAATAACAAAAAAAAAAAAAAAAAAAAAAAAACTAAATGCATACCCGGTCCAATTCACTGGAGGAAGAAGCATTGGCATATATGGAATCACCATGTGCATAGCCTGATTTCAAGATCCAAATTAGAACAATCTTTCATATCAGAAAACAATATATAAATAAACATGAAAGATATGAATATATATGCACAAAAAAACTTACACTTTTCTCAAGTCCTTTTCGAACAAGAGGATCACATTCAATAACTCCATATCTTCTGCTTCCTCTCCTATATATATAAGATTAACAATCAGCAATGCATCATCAACACATAAAAAATGTCAAATAGTAAAAACTAAAAAGTAAAAAATCATAAATGAGGCCATACGTACGGTGTTTCCACAGTTTTAAGAGTGTGTACAAATGCAGGCCTAATATCAGGAGGACAATCTTCACATTGATCAACAGGAGGTTGTATATAAGCAGTCTCCATTAACAACTGGATTAAACGAGAACCAACCTGAAAACAGCAACATTCACTGTTGAAGATTATCATAATTACCATTTTGCCATCAGGGTTCATTTACAAACCTTAACTTGAGCATCCTGACCCCATGGCTTCAACTGATCTTGTTGTTTTACTATGTGCCTTACTTGCTGCAACTTTTTCTTTTTAACTAAATTGGTTACTTTCTTCCTCAATTTCTGTAATTGTTGCTCGTTGTTTACAGTTTCTGAATCATCATCAGGGCTCTCATTTAATGAAGCCTTTCGTTTGGATTTCTCCATGAATCTGTGTATTCTCGCCTGATTTTCATATCAGAAAGAAGGAACACTTGAATCCTTGGATGTTGTAAAAAGGGAAGAAAAAAAATGAAATTTTTGCTGCAACTAACCTCATGTTCAACAGCTTCACCGATATGCAGAGCTGCCTGGACCACCCTAGCACCACCCTGACCTCCGCCAGTCATCAACAGACCCATTAGCTTGTGCATTGTAATTATCGTCATCATATCAGCAGGTAACTGATCGAATTGTGGGGCATAAGCTCCTCGATTCCTACCTTCCCTGCATAAATCCTGCTCTGAAGCAATGGCGTTCTTCAATGGCTCAAACCAACCAAGAAATAAGGATTTCACATAAGGCAGATTGGGAGCGAGTTTCTGTTCACACATGTCGACTAAAAGTTCCTGATACTCTTTTGCTGCGTTCTCCCATGCTTCTGTCTCTATCTTTATCTGTCGTCTCCTGAGTGCAATGTACTTCCCTTGCCCAATTCCGTTGACTAATCTCGGCTGCTTTTTGTGATCGGAGCTATTAGTTTTCGTTTCCACTGCTTTGATTTCTTTATTCAAATGGTGTACCATTTCACGAATTTCATCGCTGTCTTCTTCTTCTGTCGAAACAATCTCCTCAGCTGCGGCGGAACTGGCATAGCCCTTATAAGACCGATGTAATAAACCTAAAGAAACCCCTAAATTTGTGAAACCGGAATCACCCAAGACGTTGATTCGCCGGAAACCCCGTTCTCCATATGAAGGATGTCGATATGGGTGAAGCTCTAACTGTCTAGGTTTTTCGAACAAGTAGGTATCTCTAAAATTAGATTTATCGGCGAATGATTTCAGCTTCTTGACAGAAGCTCGGTTACATACGCTTCTCCACATGCTAGAGTGGAGTGATTTATTTGCAGAAAAATTAATGGGTTTCTAACTATGTACACGGTTGATACAATTTGCAGAGAGATAGATCGAACTAATACCAGGATCTGAAAGAACTCTCTGGTTGTTTGGTAAGATGGATGCGAAGGGGTGAATCTAGGAGTGGCGATGAAAGAATCTGACAAAATTTGAGGATTTGTGTAGGAGGCAAAGTGATGAAGAGTGGCCGCCTTAAACCCTTGCTAAACCTATTCTTGTTTTTGCCTGCGTCACGAAAAGATATTTTATTCATTTTTTTTCTTTTTTTCTTCCTTGTATGTAGCAAATAAAGAAAGTAAAATGACACATTAGACCAAGACATCAGGCGTGACTTTCACCCGAGACATGATGTTCCGTTTCACAGCATTCGCTGCTCCGACATTGTGTAATACAAGGATTCCACGTTCTTGTTAAAGATCGGTACAAACGATGTCAATTTTCATTAATTTACACATCCCGACTCCTATGTAAGGTTGTGCAGACTTTCCTCGTAGAGCCAACATCACTCGGTTCCCCTATCTTTAGGCAAACCATGTGTCGAATTGGTCGTCTGGAACAACCATTCGAGTGGCTTTCCTCGTAGAGCCAACATTAAATAATTTTTGTCATAGAGTCAGTCCTAACCGGCTATCCTCGTAGAGCCAACACCTATTGGTTTTCCTCGTAGAGTCATCCCTAGTTGGCTTTCCCCGTGGAGCTTACCCTAATTGGCTTTCCTTGTGGAGCCAACACTATCATTTTCCTTCTAAGTGTATTCTCCATTTTAATTAATGTATCATAAATTTATCATTTAAGGGTTACACAACATCCTTCTCCATTGTTAACAGTGTGTATTTATGAGCAAGATTAACATTGAGAAAGAATTTTCTTTACTGGGTTGAAATTGTAAATGTGAAGAAAGGTTTATAAAGAGAGTTTTAAAAAGATGTTAGTATTGGGTGTGTTGTGTATCATTTTAATAGTGCAGGTATTGGGGCTCGTTTATCTGGAAACTGGAAAAGCACGCGGATCCTTGATACTGGGTTTGGGTCAGTTATATTACGGGTTTGGTTTATGGGTTGAACCGGGAATATAAATTTGGTCTCAGCTGTATTAGAGTGATTAAGATCATTTTTCAGTCTACACACACTTACTCAAGTCTCTCTGATCTCTCGTCTCCGTCTTCTTCAGATTAGGGCTTTGGTCAAGTCTAGAGTTCTTTGTTCTAGTTAGTTTTTGTTCGATAAACTCTGTAATCTGTTCTTGTTTTTCTATTATGTTTGAGTGTGAGTGTTATGTATTGAGTTTTGAGTTGTAAGTTTCTTTAAAACCAACTGGATCTTGTTTTTGTTAATAAAAGATATGTTGATGTTGTGATTAGATTTGTTTATTGTGTTTTTATCATCCATCATTCCTAAGTAATCATGCTCCTTTTTTATGTGCTACTTTAAGGCATATTACTTTAAAGTTCCTAGCTATGTAAACATGCAAGTATGTCATACAATGTCGAAGCATCACTATATAAACATGCACATATCATCACTTCAACATTTGGGCATATTATATCACTAGCATGCATTTCCATAACATCATAACCCAATAGATTTCCAACAAATTGCAGCATTCATACGTCATACCGTCTGGTGATTTTCCCTAATTCGGACCAAAATGGCCTTTACAGGCCTCACAAGACAGGTCAAGGAATCTGTCCATATTTGCAATTTTGCCAAAATCAATAAACACATTAAGGGTCATCCTGATATTCAGTCTTTAAATTCCCTTAAACATGTTTTGTCCTTTGGGACTGAGTCTCTTTCCTCCTTGTGATGTTTGTCACAAGGCTAAGCAGTCTAGGAATTCTTTTCATTTAAGTGAACATAAGAGTACTTCTTTAGGTTATTTAGTGCATATAGATGTTTGGGGTCCCTATAGGGTTGCTACCACGGATGGTTTCAAATACTTTCTAACTATTGTGGATGATTTTGTTGGATTAGGTGTCTAAGCTCATAACTATAATTGGTATGTACTTGAATTGATAGCAGCACAGTCCTTTTGGGTTGCCCTCAAACCTAGCAACTAGACAAGGAAATTATGAAAGGAGAGATATTAATTTATAAGATTAATAAATTAATATAAATGATTTATTAATATGTTAAAAGATTAATATATTAATTAGAAATCATTATGTTTAATTAATAGTTAGCCAGAAATTAATTTGAATTAATTTTGGGGTTAAAAGTATTAATTATAAAGTGCAGGGACTAGTTTGCAATTATCTAATAGTTGAGTGAAAGGCTCCAGAACCTCCTTGGAAGGAGGTGGACGAAATCTATAGGGGAAACCCTAAGGATTTCGTCCAAGGGGCTTTGGATAAGGCCTTTGGATTAGCTTAGGCCCCAAGCAAATGAGTATTAAGGTTTCCCTAAACCCTAGATCCCTCAGCTATATAAGGAGCCTCCCAGCTCCTAAATTCGGTCACTCCTACCTTGGAAGAAACCCTAGGCCGATTTTGCATACCCTACCCTCTCTCCTTCAAGTTTCCTTCTTGCTAGTTCTTGGATGTGATTTCATTAGAGGCATTACATTTGTGGTGCTAGGCTTCCAAGAAGATCAAGTTCAAGAGGATTAACAATCGTTTCCTATAACAATTGAAAGGTATGTAATTCTGAAACCCTAGTTTGTTAATTTCGAAATTAGCCTCTCTCCTCTAGGGTTCTTGTTTGCAATTCAAAGTTATATGTTCAATAGTTAAAACATAGATCCAAAGTAGGTTGCATGTGAACTTAGGAATTGTTTTCTAGTTTATTTGTTTTACCTGAAACTCATCAGTGGTATCAGAGCCATTGTTTGTTTTAAATTGAATTGCTATAATAGTTGAATTGCAAATTAGGGTTTATAGCCATTAAACCCTAAAGGCCAAAATTTTCGCTTTTAGGGATTTTGGTTCAAAGGGTTTTTCGAAAAAAACCTAGCCTCCATGAACCCTAATCGAAATTAGGGTTAGGGTTTTGGAAAACCCTAGCCTCCTCCCTTGAATTTCGAATTTTGCTTGTTATTTTAGGGTTTTATCTTATTTTGGATAATTATTACTTGATTGGATAATTATTGCCTAATTGGATAATTGAGAAAAATAAGGAAATTATCCTTTACCCTAATTTTCGAAATCTAGAGGGATAAGGATTATGATTAAATTAATTGTTTAATTTAATTAGATAATCCTTACAAGATTTAATAAATTAGTTAAAAGTTAATTAATAGATAAATATTAAATCTAGTTATTTGGGGTTTATTTTAAATTTAAAATTAATGTCATAATTTTCGAAATTTATATATAAACCCTAAAGTTTTAAAAAGTTTAAAACACACCTTATACATATATTCTAATTAAAAGTTAAATATTATATATGTATAAGAATATGGTCAGTCAACTCGCTAGTATGCCTCATTCACGAAGCTAGTCTATAAGGAGGGTATAAGGAAACTGCCTATAAAATGGTAGTTGAATGGGTGTCCACTCTCACCCACCGCTTCCTTGATTAGTGGAGGGTCGTTAGCATAACGGATTTGATAGGACAACTACTTCTCATTAAAAGTATAATGTTATTAAAGAAAGTACTAGAACATTATTTTACAAAATCCCAACTCTAGTTACTTTAGGAAAAATGTGAAAAGTATGCTAATCCATGAAATTGCACATTATGCTTTATTGGTCGTTAGTGGAGCGTGTGTGGTTAACCATCACACTAAAAAGGCACTAATAAAGAGTAGTAATGGGTATCTCATAATTGTCATTTTGATGGAGCGTGTGTGGTTTACCAGCACATCAATAGTTAATGATAAAGACAATGAGGTTACCAAGCACATTTGCATGGTTATTCACATCTTGTTTGTGATCCTCGGCATCCCAGTCACAAATAGAAGAGCATAATCTGAGATTAAAACATGCCATTGAATAGTTTCAATGTATCTCAAAAGAATTAGGAATTTCACTTCGTTTATTTCGTCTAATGGTGGAATTGGTGAATCGTCATTCACCTACCTTTATGAAATTTACACTTGGATCTCGGCATCCCATTTCTAAGTTGTGAATCTTCATAGTTGGATCCTAACCTTAATATTATATCTTTGGGTTATTATATTGAGGTATCTTGAGATCTAACTAAAACTTTCTTTCTTTTCAGATGTCTACTCCTGGAAACACTTCTGCTTCATCATCCTCCAACCACAACTTCTCTTTGCTCAACATTTGCTCCAAAGTCGTTATGGATGGCTCTAACTATAACGATTGGATGCGTAACATCAGATGGCGCTTCGATTTGAGGACAAAGAATATGTCCTTGAAAAGGAGCTCAAAGAGCTTGATGAGTCTAAAGCTACTCCTGAAGAATATGCTGCCTACAAGAAACATTATGATGATGCTACCAAAGTGGCATGCATCATGGTCGCAACCATGTCCCCAAAACTACAGAGGTACTATGAGGACTACTGGCCCTTTGAGATGAACAAGGACCTTATGGAAAAGTACCATAAGCGAGCTCGTCAAGAAAAGTTTGAAGTAGTCAAGTCACTCATGGCTTGCAAGATGAAAGAAGGGGAGTCGGTTGTGTCTCATTTGCAAAGAATGCAACGCTACATAGAGCGTTTGGTCAAGCTCAACATTCACTTTGATGAGGAATTGGCCATTGACATGGTCTTGAACTCATTACCTGATTGTTATGGTCAGTTTATTCTAACTTACCATTTGAACAACACTGAGCAGACACTGGCCCAATTGCACAACTTGTTGCAGACAACTGAAGCAGGGATGAAGGGTAAAAGTATAGCCTCCACTCCTGCAAGTGCCCCTGTCTTGGCTATTGGACAGGGAAAGGGGAAAAAGAGGAAAGGTCCTCCTAAGCAAAACTGGAAGAACAAGGCTCAAGCTGGGTCATCTAGTAATGGCCCAAAGGCTAAGCCCAATGCTACCATTCCCCATGTTTCTGATCCAAAAGATGCAGATTGCTTTTATTGCAATGACAAAGGGCACTGGAAGAGAAGCTGCCCAAAATATCTGCAGGATATCAAAGATGGCAAAGTGAAGCCATCTTCAGCAGGTATTTACACTATTTCTTCTAATAACTCATTATCTTCTCATTCATGGGTCCTTGATACATGATGTGGTTTTTGTTGGATTAATTTCTAAGTCCATAACTATATTTGGTATGTACTTGACCCGACCCGGCATGGTCCATTTGGGTTGCACTTCACCGGCACAATTTATA